TCAGAAATTCAGCGGGAGCGGGCAGGAGCGGGATGAAGGAAACAGTCCCGCGCAGGGCTCTACTGCTGCGTTTCAGTCAGGGGTCTGACAGTGAGCTGCGCTGAGCAGTGTCCAGCTCAGATGTTCAGATGGGAATCTTTTCTTGAGTGGTTTAGTGTTTCAATTTTTTTATGAATTTGATTAAAAATAAAGGCACCCGGCCCGGCCCGTGTCCGAGGTAATTACACAGTCATTGGCCCGAGGGCCTAGGGCTTCAATGCAGGGCTACTCTGCCCCTGAGCCTGAGATCAGTGGACTTTCTTCTTCTTCTTCTTCTTCTTCTTCTGGATTGAGGAAGGTGAGAAAAACACTGCTTATTTCTGTAACCTAGTGTAGCGAGCGTGTACTTTTATCGGTTCCGTTAGAACCTTAGAATACGCTGCTTTTTCAGGGAGGTTGAGGCCGCAGGTGAGTTTTATTGTGCAGACCCTGGTTTGGACTCCTTAATTAGAACTCGTTTTCTATTTTAAGGTGGAATGGAGATTGCTGTACTTGTTCTTCTGTGACAGCACACTTCCCTTTTAAATCTCCCGTTATTTAATTGTTTTAAATACTAGGGCGGAAGTTCACTGGAGGCCATCCAGCTGACTATTATTTGGGTCCTATCAGGATTAATTTGCGCCTCTGTCAGCAATGTGGGCGATGGTAATTAGAAAATGATTCCTGTTAGTTGATCAGGCTAACATGGATTTATCAATTAATCTAATTAATCCACCCTTTGAAATGGTTCCTTCCCACGCTAAACAGAGACTTTTTCACACGTGCAGAACAGAGCCTGTTTGAACCAACTAACCATTTTGATTTATAATCCTCAGGGTGTCCTGCTACGTTAGGGAGGAGGGGAGACTAGCTCCCATTACCTCAGGTATCTTTTCTTAACCTGTCACAACCTGAAAACAAGTCCTGAAGCACAGGAACAAGCAGTTTAAGGTGGCTTACCTCTCCTTTAGATCTGGTCGGGGCTCCCAACTCAAAGGCTAAAGAGACCTTTAAGAATCGAGAATGAGGATTCTTTTTCCAAAAAGTTAATTTCAAAATTAAAAAATACAAACAAGAGTAAATCTGAGATTTAAAAATCCCCTTAGGAGGATGCTGCTTCTAAAAATCTTCCTGAGAATAACTGCTCTCTCTTCCTGCACCTGTTGGTGATACCTCGTCGACTTGTGTCAACTCTAACTGTCACACACTAACTCTCACACGCTCTCACTCCTCTCGTCAACGACCTCTACTCTCTTACTCCCTATGCTCTGTCTGTCTCTAACTGCTCTTTTTATATCATTCTAAAAAACTTCCAAGCCAAACATTTTCCATAGTGAAGCAATATCTCAACCAGTCAAGAGACAGCCTAAACAATGTAATCATTTGTCAGTTACATACATCTTTTTATCACAAGACAGCAAAACAATGTGATTATTTGTCAGTTACATATCTCAGTCAAACACAAGACAGCCAAACCCATGTGATCGTTATATTTGTAAGCTGGTTTCAGGTCCACTCAAAGTCAAACTCCCCCACGGAGGACTTTCACATTCTGAGACGTCTCTTCAGTTGGCCTTCTTCTGTCCCGCATCCTGCGCTACTTCCTGTTCAGTTGGACCACTCCTCCTTATCACCCTAACCCTCCAACACCGTTATATATATATATATGTATATATGTATATATATATATATGTATATATATATATATATACATATATATATATATATATATATATATATATGTATGTATATATATGTATATATATATGTATATATATACATGTATATATATATATATATGTATATATATATGTATATATATATATATATATATATATATATATATGTATATATATATATATATATATATATATATATATATATATATATATATATATATATATATATATATATATATACAGGTGCTGGCCAGTAAATTAGAATATCATCAAAAGGTTGAAAATATTTCAGTAATTCCATTCAAAACGTGAAACTTGTACATTATATTCATGCAATGCACACAGACCAATGTATTTCCAATGTTCATTACATTTAAATTTGATATTCATAAGTGACAACTAATGAAAACTCCAAATTTGGTATCTCAAAAAATTAGAATATTCTGAAAAGGCTGAATATAGAAGACACCTGCTGCCACTCTAATCAGCTGATTTACTCAAAACACCTGCAAAGGCCTTTAAAAGGTCCCTCAGTCTTGTTTTGAAGGCACCACAATCATGGGGAAGACTTCTGACTTAACAGCTGTCCAAAAGACAATCATTGACACCTTGCACAAGGAGGGCAAGACACAAAAGGTGATTGCTAAAGAAGCTGGCTGTTCGCAGAGCTCTGTGTCCAAGCACATTAACAGACAGGCGAAGGGACGGAAAAAATGTGGTAGAAAAAAGTGTACAAGCTCTAGGGATAACCGCACCCTGCAGAGAATTGTGACGACAAACCCATTCAAAAATGTGGGGGAGATCCACAAAGAGTGGACTGCAGCTGGAGTCAGCGCTTCAAGAACCACCACGAGGAGACTCATGAAAGACATGGGATTCAGGTGTCGCATTCCGTGTGTCAAGCCACTCTTGAACAAGAAACAGCGCAAGAAGCGTCTCGCCTGGGCCAAGGACAAAAAGGACTGGACTGATGCTGAGTGGTCCAAAGTTATGTTTTCTGATGAAAGCAAGTTCTGCATTTCCTTTGGAAATCAAGGACCCAGAGTCTGGAGGAAGAGCGGAGAAGCACAGAATCCACGTTGCATGAGGTCCAGTGTAAAGTTTCCACCGTCAGTGATGGTGTGGGGTGCCATGTCATCTGCCGGTGTTGGCCCACTCTGTTTCCTGAGGTCCAGGGTCAATGCAGCCGTCTACCAGGAAGTTTTAGAGCACTTCATGCTTCCTGCTGCTGACCAACTTTATGGGGATGCAGACTTCACCTTTCAACAGGACTTGGCACCTGCACACAGTGCCAAAACCACCAGCACCTGGTTCAAGGACCATGGTATCCCTGTCCTTGATTGGCCAGCAAACTCGCCTGACCTTAACCCCATAGAAAATCTATGGGGTATTGTGAAGCGGAGGATGCAATACGCTAGACCCAACAATGCAGAGGAGCTGAAGACGACTATCAGAGCAACCTGGGCTCTCATAACACCTGAGCAGTGCCACGGACTGATCGAGTCCATGCCACGCCGCATTACTGCAGTTATTGAGGCAAAAGGAGCCCCGACTAAGTATTGAGTGCTATACATGCACATTCTTTTCATGTTCATTCTTTTCAGTTGGCCAACATTAGAGAAACAAACATTTTTTCATTGGCCTTTAGAATATTCTAATTTTCTGAGATACCAGATTTGATGTTTTCATTGGTTGTCACCTATAAATATCAAAATTAAACGTAATAAACATCGGAAATACATTGGTCTGTGTGCATTGCATGAATATAATGTACAAGTTTCACGTTTTGAATGGAATTACTGAAATATTTTCAACCTTTTGATGATATTCTAATTTACTGGCCAGCACCTGTATATCTGTCTCATGCAGGTGTCAGAACACCTGCATGAGACAGGTGTTAATTACAATCTGCCAGAATGACTCACCACCTTCAGATTTCTCCAACACCGTTAAAAATGATCAAATACGGAACATATCGGCGTGCGCAGGCCAGAGCGCTGAAGCTCGGCGCATTGTTATTATGAAGCTAGGGCACATGTGGAGGACACATATACTTGTTTTCAATTACATTCATTTGGCCCACTTACTTTTTCTTAGGCCCACCCACAAATGAGTTTCTGGCTACGCTAATGGTGACATATGACAGACTTCTCTGAGCTCCACAGCCATTACACTTTTCACCTCGTGCACCCCCTAGCGGCAGCTCGCGCACCTCCTAGCGGCAGCTCGCGCACCCCCTAGCGGCAGCTCGCGCACGCACCACACTTTGGGAATCCGTATTCCAATCCTTCCTATCTTATCTATTAAAGGTCTTCTGTTAACTGACAGAAAATGCAACGATCTTACAATAAGATCACCCTTAAATGAATCTCTTTTTCCTGGAAAAACAAACAAAAATAACATAATTTACACATCTGATAAAACGTCTGTTGAGAAAATAAGAACTATCTACCTAAAATTACCTATACCACCGAAAGCTAAAGAAACCCACTTTAAAATAATGAATGCAATCTATCCTTCAAAAGAGTTGTTAAGAGCTCGTTTTAATATTGATAGCAACAACTGCTCTTTTTGCAAAAACCACATAGAAACTATAGATCATATATTTTATGAATGTCAGAAATCACAATTGTTCTGGAAAAAGCTAGAGATGTGGATCAACACTAAAATACCCCTCCCAGTTCACATCACTAAAGATATGATAATATTTGGAATTATATTCAATAATAAAGATAAATAACTCTGCTATAATATCATCCTCTGTTTAGCCAAATTTTTATCCATAAACAACGAATTTTACAATCATCCACTGTCTTCAATGTTCTTAATAGAATTTCAATTATATTTAAAATCCCTGAAACATCTCAACAAATATAACGAAAATCTATATAACATGTTAGCTGAACTTCCAAAGTGATTTCCTAATTCTGTATGATAAATGCTGTACTCTACTTGTTCTTCATGTTCTTTTGTCTCTTGTTGTTGTCTTTTTACTGGATATTTACAAATGTTATTTTAACTGCTCCTTTTGAATTTAAGTTTTGGACTTAACATTGTCAAAGTGCCATGTTTGTTTTTAAATTTACTAAATAAATAAATAAAAATTCTTCTTCTTCTTCTATCATGTGGGGACCCTTGAAGGGTCAGATTCCTGATTACGAGTTACTAGTTTACATTCTCCTAACAAACGGAAGGAGTTCATCCCCTGGTATCTACAGCCTTGCCACAATTTTATTTTGAAGCCCGAAAACCCAACAGGTTCCACGTCCCAAACAAAAGAATTTGATTTAGTTTTGACTCTTGTGCTTTCCGTAGTTTTAGTGACACGTGACCCGAGTATTTATATAGAGGTGACTGGATCATTTGTTTCTCCGACTGAAGAGAAAGGAAGAACATGGCGTCGACGAGCCGGTGCGTAACCAGTTGGACCAACTCTGCAAAACATGTTTGTTCTCTAGTTGAAGTTCCGAGAACGTGAGAAGTTGAAGAATGTGTACAAGAGTGTTTTTAACAGACGACGCTGGTCTGCTGTTGTGGATGTAACGCGTTTAGGGTTAGTTGTGGTCTGGTGGCAGTTAGCTTGCTGGAGAACGTCAGATGCTACCAGAAATCTCTGCTTGTGTCGCCGCTGCGCCTCGCAGCTCCGTGCGGATCCCTTTAGTTTCGTTTCTGTTTGAAGCTCCTCTGCGTCGGTTCGCGTGAGGAGAAGGCTCGTGCCATGGTGAATAAGTAACCAGCGTAGCTCCGAGTTAGTCTGGACGTTTGTAAACAAATCTTAGCCACGTTGGATGTTTACAGCGATTCTCAACGTTACCATCGGCTCCCTCGGCTCTCAAAGTTTAAAGTTAAAGTTCCACTAGTTGACACTTGTTCTCCGCATTTCACCCATCCCTGGGGGAACTGTGAGCTGCAGACACAGCCGCGCTTGGGAACCATTTGGTGGTTTGACCCCCCCCCCCCCCCCCCCAATCTATCTGAGTATCAAGCAGGGAGGCAGTGGGTCTCAAGTCTTTGCTGTGACCCGACCGAGATGTGAACCCAGTCCCAGGGCGGGCACTGCTACTAGGTCCCTGAGCACCGCGGTGAAGTTAGCCTGAAGTTGGATGTTCGACAGACATCGGTTTACACGGTCAGACATGAGTCTTCATGCCGTGCACGGCGGCACAGACAGCGGTAACCTGGGTTCCGCGGACTCGCTAATGGGAACGGTGGTTCCCTTAGGGACTATCAACAAATTTGTAGTCCTTTGTAAACGAGTACAAAAAATTAAAAGCTTCCAGAATAATTTGCTAAATGACTCAAAATAACTTCTGACTTGTGTTACTAAACTACATTTACAAGACACAACAGTGTTAACACATTTCACACAATCAGATCTTTTTTATTAGGATTTTATTCCAAAATTAAGGGACTTTTTTTTCAACAGTTCCTAGGTAAATCAGTCTAAATCCACAAAACCATTTCTCAATTGTGTTACTAAGCCAGACCAATGAGACGCAGCAGTTTATAACAACTTTCATACCATCTGATCTGCTGAGGGTGAGACAGGGAGAGCCAGACCTGCTGAGGGTGAGACAGGGAGAGCCAGACCTGCTGAGGGTGAGACAGGGAGCACCAGACCTGCTGAGGGTGAGACAGGGAGAGCCAGACCTGCTGAGGGTGAGACAGGGAGAGCCAGACTTGCTGAGGGTGAGACAGGGAGAGCCAGACCTGCTGAGGGTGAGACAGGGAGCACCAGACCTGCTGAGGGTGAGATGGGGAGAGCCAGACCTGCTGAGGGTGAGACAGGCAGCACCAGACCTGCTGAGGGTGAGATGGGGAGAGCCAGACCTGCTGAGGGTGAGACAGGCAGCACCAGACCTGCTGAGGGTGAGACGGGGAGAGCCAGACCTGCTGAGGGTGAGACAGGGAGAGCCAGACCTGCTGAGGGTGAGACAGGCAGCACCAGACCTGCTGAGGGTGAGACAGTGAAGAGTGAGATGATTTTAGTGGCTGATGAGAGGAAGATCTGAATGTAATATTAAGTGAACAAAGTTACATTTAAGTAATCCCATTACAAGTAGAGCTGGGCAGCACGGCCATGCTGTTCATGCTTCCTTAGACATACTAGAAAAGTAAGTGTTGAACTCTGCATTCTGGTGCGTTTAGACAGCAGTTTTGTCCGTCTGAATAATAACGTAGTTCCAGCTGTTGTTGTGAGTGAATGATGTATTTTTTCATTCAGTCACAAACAAACAGATAGTTCTGATTGTTGGTCAGCATTGTTGGCTGATGTAGTTTAAAATATTCTGATGAGAGTCGGATCAGTTCAGACTGAATATTCTCAGCTTTAGTCTTGTATTAAATCTGTTTACACATCTCTACCCATAGGAATAAGATCATATATCCTACGTTCATGTTATTAAATAAAATAAAACAGTACTGACACAAAAACAGCTTTTTTATCATTAACACGTCCACGCTGGCCAGTAATCAAACCTGGATCCGGCTAATGGGGAGCCTAAGTCTCCGCCCCTTCTGGTTGGCTCATTAGTCCCCGATCCATAAACAGAATGTTAGTGAACTGTGCTATAAAGTTATTTTCTAGTCTTTCTGGGGTTTGCCTTACGCCCCGAGTCTCGTCTGTCAGGCTTTTCATATCCTAGAGTTCCACCGTCTGTTTTCTATCAGAAGCGAATGCAGGAGATGGGTGTAGGAGACTATTTTCATGTTCAGCCTGCATGAAACACTCAGAGTGACCCGTTAGAATCAGAAATAATCATTGAATGTATTTTTTTCAGTGAGGTTGACCTACATATTTACCTAAAACAGATTTATCAGATTTCCAACCCCCCCCCCCCCCCCCCCCCCCCCGTCCATCCCATTAAACTCCTTCCTACTCCTTTGGTTCCCGCTCATTTTTGGCCTTGCGTCGTTCCCGGGTACAAGGGGATCTGCTTGGAATAGTGACGCCCAAAACCTTCTGTTGCTGGGAAAGGTTAAAGGTTATCTCCAAACTATTTACTAGCTCATTCCACAGAGATTAAGATTAGTTATAAATGCAAAACCTTAATCTGTGGTTCATCCTGAGCTCAGAAGTACAAACAACCCAAGAGCTCCATCTCAGACCCTACAAGCCTCATTTAGCAGGTCAAATGTTTATGTTCACCTTGTTGATTTGTAATTTATGTAATTAACACACATAAATATATCCCTATTGGCTTTCACAGCGGTGAAGGTCTGACCCTGCCCAGGGTTACGTGTCCCAACCACCCTGATGCCATACTGGTGGAGGACTACAGAGCAGGAGACATGATCTGTCCTGAATGTGGCCTTGTTGTTGGTGAGTGTTTACATCTTCAAAGACTATTATTATTATTATTATTATAATATCTGAGATGTTTCAGTGAAAACCGTCTCCTTGTGGTTTCCTGTCAGCTGCAGACGAGTCAAACTCCTGAGTAAACACCAGTTAGTTTGAAATGTTTGAGCTCGTTTCTGGGTTTACACGACTAAAGGGCAGTTTTACACATACTAGGTAATCTCCACCGACCTACTGGGATGAGACCAGTCCCTCACGGTGGGTTTATACGCTGTGTCAGACGTTTGTGAGGGTTGTGTTCTCTGCTCTTGTTGCTGTTATTTGAACCGTTGGGCTGCTTTTGGAGCTGAATGTCTCGTTGAGACGAGTTGGTGAATAAAACACAAACAAAAGAAAACGTCGTCTAAAAGCAACAGCAGATTTGCACAGCTGTCAGTAGAGATGCTCCCATCCGAGTTCCTGTAAATCATGATCAGACCAGATTTTTGATCGTGTGGTTTTCAGGAAATCAGAATCATTTGGGAAAGTCGGATTTAACCATATAAAACGACAAACATTACTTTAGATGATGTTTTTAAACCGGAAAACAAGGGCTTAGTTTTAAATTTAAATCTGCATTCTTTGTTTCAGAGACAACAACACCACAAGTCCCACATTTTAAGGTGGTCTGTGAATTGACGCACCATACCATATAGCATTTAGCTAACATAGGTCACACTTGTCACCTCTGGGGGAAGGAAATGTTTGTTATTTGGATGTGTTTTTGGATGAACAGCAAAGGGAGTGAAATAAACGTGTAATGAGTGCAAACTTGGCATTTAACGAGGTGGAAAAGGTGGTGCTGCGTTCAACACTGATGCCCCACCTTAACAAAAACACTGACCCTGCTCAGTTCGCTGCAGCAAGTCAGCTAAGCCAGCCAAGAACCAATAAATGGTCTACAGACAGCAAAAATGCCAAGTTTGTAGCATATTTATCACACTGGATGAGCTTCTGTGGTTGCAAATGTCCGGTTCTGTCTCCTTGAATCGCAGTATGATCTGCTTTCTGTTCTAGTCTAGTGCTGTGCAATCCCTGTCGCTGAAAACAGCCGCACACGGAGTAAGCCATTTAAAAATATGAGCAACAAGGAAACTTTTACATTTATTCCTAGTAGGGTAGGGCGATATGGCCTAAAATCATTATCACGATATGTTGAGGACATCACCTCCATAACTAGCCTAGTGAACTAGACCAAATTCTTGCTTTGCAAAGAATGGTCTAGGAATGCTCCACTGGAACCTCCGCAGCTCCTACCAGGACTCTGGCTAGCCAATCACAGCTCTCTAGAGGGGTTTCAAACACATAAAGAGCTGTGATTGGTCCATAATGGTGGGCCAATCATAGTGCTCTATCTGCTTAGTGAACAAATCACAGAGCTTTATCCGCTTTGTGGGCCAATCAGGGCACTCTATATGCCTGGTGGATGGGATGATGCAACAGAGTGAAACAAGAGGATGTCACAATCATTGTCCAGTAGCATGCGGAGATCATTTGAAAGACAACGGTGGAACCCGCCCCACAACCGAGAGCCGTCAATGGAGCGTGGCCAGACTAATAATACATTTATTTAGTCTGGCCTGCCAGGCTAGTCCATAACGATAACCGGACGATAGCTACAGGCATGTGCAGAAACAACAGCTGTCCACTAGATGGGGCTGTCACCTGTGTGAAGTCACATTTTTACATGACTCAAGGTGGTACAGCTTCTTAAAGCGACATGAACGTTGCCAACCTACACACATCTTTTCAGTTTTTTACTATCTAATTTATTGAGATTTGAAAAATTATCACGATAAGAATCAGAAATTTTGATAACGATAAATTTTCGAATGATTGCCCTAATTCCTAATATTAACACGTTTCTTATTATTGTACAGCGCTCTACATAAATGAGTACATCCCCTTTAAAAAGTATGAATTTAATCAGCAGCTCAGTGAACAAAAGAACCGTTTCCAGACTTTAACAAGGCCGGTTTTATTGAACACGTGTTAACTCCATAACATGAAATTAAGGTTAATAATATAACTTGGATCACAAATTCTTCAGTTTTACTATAAGTGTTGGAAGCAAAGATGAATCCACCCCACAACAAAAACCACATCATCTGGTACTTTGTATGACCACCGTGATTTTCAAGGACAGCACCAAGTCTTCTAGGCACTGAATGAACAAGTTGGCGACATATTGCAACTTCTATCTTTTCCATTCTTCAAGAAGAACCTCTTAGAGCCTGGATGCTGGATGGAGAGTGATGTTCAACCTGCTGCTTCAGAATTCCCCACAGGTGTTGGACTGGGTTCAGATCAGGAGACAGACTTGGCCGTTCATCACCTTCACCCTGCTCTCCTTCAGAGATGCAGCAGCAGCTTTAGATGTGTGTTCTGGGTAATTGTCGTGTTGGAAAAGTGCACGACGACCACGTTCACGGGGTGATGGCAGCATCTTCTCCTTCAGTATAGACCAGGACATTGTTGAGTTCATGATACCATCAATGAGATGCAGCTCCCCAACACCATTAGCACTCATGCAGCCCCACATGAGGACTCCACCACCACCATGCTTCACTGTAGGCACCATACATTTCTCTTTGTGATCCTCACCTTCACAACGCCACACAGTTTTGAAACCATTAGTTCCAAAAACAGTGATCCTTGTCTCATCACACCAGAGTCTAGAGTCCCAGTGGTCTTCGTCTCTTCCAGCATGGGCCCTGGCTAATCCTAGGTGTGCTTTTTTGTGAAAATGTCAAAGAAGTGTCTTCCTACAATCAATTTGCAAGACTTCCTTTTTAGTTTGCATCTGCCAGAGGAGCTGAAAAGCAGATTGTACAGTTTCAACCCAGCAGGACCACATTCTCTGTGGACAGTGTAAACGTTTGGTTACAGGAAGCAGGCAGTCCTGATACTGAACCAAACAGTGCATCTGATGATAAAGTTGTTGAAGACAGTGTCTCTAATATTTCAAGTGTCAAGTCACATTCAAAGGCATCTTCACGGCAATCTCGGACTTCATCAACATCTTCCACACGCATTAATGCTGCCGCTGAACAGGCAGAGCTCATGGAGCGGGTCGCTGCATTAAGGAAAAACATCTTATTGAGGCTCAAGAGGAAAAACTAAGTAGAAAAGAGGAGAAACTGGACGTAGAAACTGAGTTGGCAGCAACAAGTGGAAAGCTTCATGTTTTGAAGATGAACTCAGTTTGTGGCTCTGATCGATCTGATGGAATGAACTCTTATATTGAAAAGGGGCATCAGCCGAATCTAGGGCTGCAACAAACGATCATTTGGATAATCGATGAATCGGATGGGGTCTCGACACGATTAATCGATTAATCGGATTACATAGGGACATTTTTAAAAACTGCTAGGGAAACGTTATTTCTCTCCTTCCTTCACTTTATTAAACACAACATTATTAGAAAACAGTTCAATAGCAGAAAAACAACATGCCATCACCTAAATTGTCTTATAAGCTGTATAGACAGAGAGACCCTAAGCTACACCTATCTGTGACCTAAAATGCTTGGTCCAAGTTAAACAGCTTAAGGGGAATTCTCATCTGTTTTGTTTGATCTCATCTGTTGACATTTATTATAATTGGGGATGTCAAACAACTAATTTTTGAATGTAATTAAACATAGGCTGTGAATTAATCAAAATTAATCACTATTTCCAAAAATGACTGAAAAATACCAAATAAAACAAAAGTAAATGAATGCCATCCTCCTTGCGATGATGCCCTGGGCAACTGCCATAAAGTCACATCAAGAAATGCTGCTGATCATTCCAATGATCCCAAATAGACTCACATTAGGCCACATGAAAGCAACTGAACCCAAAAATATATTAACCAGTATATAACTGCACTCTCACACAACACGCCTGCAGCAACAGTTAGGACTCCTCCCTCCCTTTTAAAAGCGTTTTTGCTTCTGAGGACATTGTGGTTGTAAAACCACATGCTAGTAGTCTGGCCCCGGTGTGATCAACCAGTTTCAACGGGAATGTGACGGCGGAACCGGTTCGCAGCAGCGCAAGTCCCCTAACCCCCCCCCCCCCCCCCCCCCCCCGCCTATCTAATAGCGTCGCGCTTACGATTTTATAGACTTTTTTAACGAGCTGAGGGCATGTCTAGCCTGTGTAATAATCTGGGGCTTGGGTGAATCACTTTTGAAAAGTTTTTAACTTACCCGGACACCGAGCTCTCTCCTTCCTCGCTGATGATTCTGACATGCTTGCGTTTAAGACGCTGCATCATCACCGTAGTATCCCCGTGCCATGCTAAGTCTGACCTACAAACGTTGCAGGTAACGAATGTCTTCGCCTGATTTAACTGAAAATGCTCTCAAACTTTAGAAGTTTTTACTATTTGGGGTCTCGCTGCTTCTGCCATGTTCCTCTTCCGAACACCTGCCGGCTCTAAGGTCTGCGCGCAACGGCGGGCGGGAGGGGAGGGGGCTTTTGGAAGAGTTGTGCAACACAACGAATCGATGACTCAATCCGTTGTCAACGCTTTTAGTAATCGATTTTCATCGAATTTATCGATTCGTTGTTGCAGCCCTAGCCGAATCCTTGTGCTGATATGTTTGTGCCCAAGAAAAGTGACCATCCTGTCACAAAACCTGCGTTTGATTCGTTCGTTCGACCTATCAAAGACACACTCAACCCCACAGGGAGGCGGTTTGAAGTGTTTCCATGTGTACATTTGCGTTCTGTGAATCCTTTGTGTCATCATCACTGCTACCATTTTATGATAATCCCTAATAGGGCAAGAGGATATAAAAAATTATCATATCGATAAAAAAATTCATATAGATCAATATCGATGATTGTTGAAAAATATTTTTTTAAATGGTAAATGGCCTGTATTTGATATAGCGCCTTCTAGAGTCCTGGAACCCCCCAAGGCGCTTTACAACACAATCAGTCATTCACACGCTGGTGGGGATGAGCTACGATGTAGCCACAGCTGCCCTGGGGCGCACTGACAGAGGCGAGGCTGCCGAGCACTGGCGCCACCGGTCCCTCCGACCACCACCAGCAGGCAAGGTGGGTTAAGTGTCTTGCCCAAGGACACAACGACAGCGACAGACTGAGCGGGGCTTGAACCTGCAACCTTCTGATTACGGGGCGAACTCTTAACTCCTGTGCCGCCGTCGCCCTGTAACTGTAGGAAATACATTTTAAGTGCGGCCCTGGGTAAGTACTTTCAATAAGGAACAGAGAACGTTTTATGTAAACATCTTTATTTTACCGGGACTGAACCATTTCAGGAAAAGGCTGAACTGCATTCGTTTTTCTAGCAGAACTCAAGATGTCAGTTCGACCCAGGTTTATGTGGTGATGTTTACAAACACGACAGGAAATGGCTTCACTCCATCCTGTTCTCACTCCATCTCTTTTTGTAGCGTTGTTTATTTCTTCCTCTTTTACAGATTTGCCCCATCGTCCAGCCCGAATCCTTTCTGATGGACTCAGTCACTTCTTTATACTTCCCTAGCGTCCTGAGCCGAGGGACTCTAAACCTCCTGGGAGAAATTCATTAGAATTTTACAGAAATCACATAGATGATTAATAATTAATAAATAGATAATCAGCACAAACAGGTATAATGTGTAAATGTCAAAGGTCACTGCAGTCGTGATAGATATACAAAACTGCAGCTTGTGAGAACCTTGTCTCCAGGGGGAGTCACCTGTTTCACACCTGAGTTTGCAGGTGTGTATTAGGGACCTCCCCCAAAGACCAGGTCAGATGGGAGACGAGGTGAACCAGCTGATGGATGATTCACCTCACTTCTTCACAGAAATGCTGTTTATTGATGGTCCATTGGCCAGGAAGTAAGATTTCTGCTGATGTCACTTCCTTTTCCACGTGTTTCAGCTGAGGACCTTAGGCAAGGCTGGATTAACCATATGGGCAACTGGGCAATTGGGGCCCACGAACTCTAAAGGGCCCAGGGCAGCAAGGGCACGAGCGAAATACTGTATCTGTAATCTCCCGCTTTATATTAAACTAGTGTGACCGTACACCCGGTTTTCCCCGGACGTGTCCACTTTTCACTCTCTGTCCGGGCGTCCGGACTGCGGGTTCTTGTATTGATGAAAATGTCTGGTTTTTCATCCAGGAGCAGGGATCAAATTATGGGGGAGCTGGATATCCTACACATCCAGGGGAGCCGGAAAAAAGTTTTCTACCTATATTACATCATTTATGGACTCTTTTGAGCAGAGAGCACAGAGAGCGACACAGCGCTGATCGTTGTAGCGCAGCGCTCCAGGCAGCTGCTTCCAGCGCACGGTCCATTCTCAAAGTGGCACAACCAAAAAACTATAATTAGCACACGATCGTTCATGTCCACACATGTTCTCTACTTTCTGTCTTATCTGTGCCTGAAGCGCTCGGCGACTGCGGAGCTCATCACCTGTGCTGCGGTGATTTCACCTCACTGACCCAGCATCAAAACGCGATCTCCGCTACGGTCAGGAGATCTTTGATCTGCTCAAAAGTAACTGATGAGGTGAAAAAGTAAGAATCCAGGCAGCAGTTTTTCTGGAGAGTTTAGAGGAGATGCAGGAAGATGAGACAGACAGGACAGGATAATATAGTTTAATAAAAACAAGAAAACAAAACAAAGTGTTGAAAAGTAAAATGTAGGTAGATTTATCTCCACTACACGTTTTTACCAGTAAAAACAATAAGTTCTACACATGTTATATTTATACATCTGATACAATTCAGATCACCTTCACAACTCAGTCACACACCCAGGGCCGTTTCAAGACATTTTGGGGGCCAAGGCAAAATGCCCCCCCCCCCATAACTGGGCTCCCCAGAAGCCTCTGTGTAATTCATACCCTCTCCAGTAGTGTTAGTTATATGGTGTTTATAAAAGCCCCTCAGACATTACTGACATGTTCTAATATTATCAGATGAAAAACTAAATTATCAGACATGCTGTCTCATCTGCTGCTTTTCTAAACCTGCTAGAAGTAACAAAACCATTTGAAAGCCACTATTTGTGGATTCTCTGAAAGTTTCCATGGAGTGTGTGACAACTTATTTTTTCATTGATCCTATCGTCTAATCTCACAGCTGAAACAAGCATCCTTAATAATCTGTGCACAGGAAGCGTACCGATGCTGTAGTAAAACAAAAGGTATAATAATTTATTATTAATAAAACCTTGTTGCAGCACTAAAGCAGAAAAATGAGATTTTGCATTAAATATGCTAAATATTTACATATGAATTGTTTTAGAGCCCTTTAATTGGCAGAATCTGATATTAATTTAGTTCTTACAAAAAATGGGTCCCAACATGGTTTGTGTGGCGTTGCCATAGTGTGACGTCATAGGCACAGATCCCCTGTCCTCTTGTTTGGAAATGGAAATATGGTCGCCCTACATTAAACAAACTGTCCACCCGGGCTTTTGCGCTGCACAGAGACGCTTCGCTGCCTACGACTGAACGTCAGTTGAGAGTCAGTCTCATGCAGACTGACCAATGAAGAGAGGGCCTCAAGTTAAGACCCTCTCCTCATTGGTCAGTCCACACGAGGTGGGTCAAAGGTTACTCTGGGCGGGTTACGTGTTGTCAGGCATTCAAGTATTGAGTATATTTACTGCATATTACAGTAAAATATTCTGTATGTGACCACATTATGGTGATCCTTGGGTCGTGATGATGGAGCCCTTGAATATTGTTGCCCAGGGTACAACAAAGTGTTAATCTGGCCCTGACCTTAGGAGGTTACGAAGCTGGCCTGATCTATCAGAACAACAAAGCTCCTGAGAACCAGTGGTTCTGGTACCAACCTCTGAGAATTACACGCTCTGGGACGCCACACCAGTGTTTACATTCTCCTTTCTGGATTAATGTTTGCATTTTTCTACAGAGAGAAGCAAAAATGAGCGCTGCAGCAGGTGGAAGCATGGACCACAGCAGGTTCTTCTGGTTGTTTCTCAGATTTAATCGACTCGTCTTTTCTCAGGTGACCGTGTGATCGACGTGGGCTCAGAGTGGAGGACGTTTTCTAACGAGAAAGCTCTCAAAGATCCGTCCAGAGTGGGCGACGCCCAGAACCCTCTGCTGAACGGAGCAGACCTCACTACCATGATCAGCAAGGTGACGTGTCAGAAATGAACGTGTTTTAGCACCGCCTCCTTAGCCGTTAAAAACTCACAGCTGATGTTCAGACAGCAGCAGCCATGACAGAACATGGCCAAGGATCCAGCAGTGAACTTTCAATCCTTTGAAAGACCAACGGCAGAAATCGATGGAGCCTTGAAAGATTTTTAAAAGATTCTGAATCGATCCTGTTCTAAAGCCCGCTGGAACCGGTGCTAGCTGTGCTGCTTCGCTCCTATGCTGCGATGTGCTCAAATACCACAGACTTGCCTTCATTACTATCCTGTGTGTGCTAGGGATGGGTACCGAATTCAGTACTTTTTAAGGTACCAACCGAATTCCATAGTACCGACTGAGCACCGATTCACGTCATTTGAAACGGTGCCTCGTTTCGGTACCCGTCCTTCATAACGAGAACTTGCCTAGACAGCTGCGCATGCGCAAGAGCGTTACGTCGTCGGTCGCTGCGAGCGAGTTGTAAACAGAGCAGCATGGTAGAAAGAACGCACGCTAACGCTTGGGTCCACTTCACTAAATGTGATGGGTAACTGGGTGATGATGAAACCAGCGACAACGATCTAAGTGAGACATCCTCATCTTAATCTGCTCCGGTAGGTAAATAAAATGTTTAAGATAACGTTAGCTTGATATGTTAGCTTCCGTTTCGCTAATGCTGCGTTCGCTTTCTCCTCGGAACTCCGAATTTCCGACTAGAAGAACATGAACGTGCTCTAAAGTTTGGCTTCACTTTACTAAATGCGACGGGTGATTGGGTGAAGATGAAACCAGCGACAACGATCTAAGTGTGAGGCATCATCGTTTTAATCTGCTCCAGCAGCTAAATAAACTGTTTAAGATAACGTTAGCTTGATAAATTAGCTTCCATTGCCACCGTTGTTATCAGCTAATGGTGCGTTCGCTTTCTCCTCGGAAATTCTAACTTCCCAGTAGGAAAAATCAAATGAAAAAGGACGGCAAAAGGAATGAAGATACACAGTAAATTTAGTTCACAGTAAAGATTTTTGCTTCAGTTTAATTATCAGCTTATAAAACTACAAGGACGATGTTAATACAAACAGTTGTATGTTATTTATCGTGATATTTATCAAATATGGTTATATATTGAGAAAAATATATATTTAATTATAAAAAAGAATTAAAATATTAAACACTCAAAAGTATCGAAGATTGGTACCGTTAAGTACCGGTATCGATTCCTAGGTACCGGGAATTAGTACCGGATCGATTCAAATGTCAAAGGTACCCATCCGTAGTGTGTGCTCCATGAGTCAACAAGTCAGTTCCATCTCGTTCTATAATGTCTAAACGGTTTTATCCTTCGTTTGAGTTTCGTGCCGACTGCACCGTGCATTACTGATGCAAATTAGTGCCCGTTAGTCTTCCTGTTTTAGTTTAAGGTGTTTCGCACGCACGCACGCACACACACACACACACTAATTGGCACTCTTTGTTAATAAGAGTATTAATTGTGAATCAAGAATCGATTCTGAACTGAATCGTAACCCTGAGAATCGGAACTGAACTGTGACTTGTAACATTCACATGCCTAGTATCCATCTACTAGAGCGGAGGGAAATATTCCAACGCATCGAGATGCAGACAGACGACTCTGACGTGCAGAAGAAGCACGCCATCATGGATTATAGTGGAATGCACTTGTTTGTCTAACCGCAGCACCAGCGTGTCAGACTGGGACGTGTCCTCCACATTTACCCAGTACAAAGTACTGGTGCACCTTTGTGTGGTGTGGCACGGCTGAGCGCTGGAGTTCTAACCTGAGACCGAACCCGACCCGAGTAAACCCGGCCAGTTCAGTCGGATTTAAGCCGGTGGATTAGGGTTGGGTCGCAGCGCACTCGAGAAGTGAAAGATGCTCCGAGTCTCTACTCACACAGGACCGTAGCGGAGGACGAGCCTCTAAAGGAGCGTTATTATTCCTCCTGGAATTGCTTAAAAACTCCGGTTCAGTCGGGTCAGACAGACCGAGTGCTGTGGTGTCAGGAGATCTGGTGTCGGGGTGAGCGGCGGCGGCGGCACCTAATCATCTGTCTCTATTTAGGGACACGGAGAGGTTGGTGAGACGGAGCGAGTCGAGGAGAAACAGGAAATAGACGTTCTTGTTGCTTTTTATTCTTTTCTTACATGATGACACGTTTATGTTAAACTCAACTTCAAGAGGAACTAGGAGGAAGCTTCGGTTCATAAGTTACAGGAGATGCGGTTTCCATCTGCTCCTCCAGAGACACCACAGACATGAGGAGATGATAGAAGTCCCACAGGACAAGCTTGTGGTTGCTGGTTAGAGAAGGAGATCCATCAGCTGGGTCACTTAATCCTAATCCAGCCCACGGCCTCCTGCTGGTGTGATCATCAACAAGAACAGGACGCACATCTCAAACATCATTTTACTTTTTTAAGGTTTGATTATTTTCTGCATTGAACAGAATTGGATCCACGCTCCAACGTTTCTGAAACCAGACCCTAGAGGTCAAACTAAGCCAAACGTCTGATTGGTGTTATTTATTTCTAACAGCCTTGGACTGCTGCATGAGTGCGACTCTAAAGCTGCTCACAGACATTCTAAACCAACACGTGGACCCATGATGGCCTTCAGAAGCTAAACTGAAGAAGTACTGGACGTGTCCTCTGGGTTTTCAGCGTGTGAGAAGGCTTTGCTAGCATCTGCAGAGCGTGTTTCTCCCACAGCCCGAGATGTTGAACGACTTCATTAAATCTTCTTAAAAGTTTTGCCCGTTAACGTTGTCCTAAGAACTGTTGTGACTGAAGAGCTTTTGGGGGACGGCGTGGTGTGTCAGACGTGTTTCTGATTAGGAAAGCACATATCTGCCATCTTCTACTCATCAATGAAAACTAATCCATATGAGATCATCGTGATGCACCGAGATATCGAATCGTTGACCCGATAATCGTAATCGAGTCGGGAGACTAGTGAAGAGTCGCACCTCTAGTATCTATGCAGAGCCCACGGTAAACATCTGCACTGGCTTCTTTATCTGATGAAGCTCTACGTTTCTCCTCCAGGGAACTGGTGCTGCCAGCTTTGACGAGTTTGGGAACTCCAAGTATCAGAACCGACGGACCATGAGCAGCTCTGACCGGGCCATGCTGCACGCCTTTAAAGAGATTAGCAACATGGCGGACCGGATCAACCTTCCGAGGAACATCGTAGTAAGTTCACAGCAACACCGGCCTTATTGACTCAGCTGACAGGATTCATTAGAGGAGCTCATCGGCGTAACTCGGACCGACGCAGCTCTGCCTGACCGATGTTCCCAAGGGCACGGTTCGGTATCTTCCCTCTTTCTCCCCTGTTTTTAGTCCCTTCTCTGTTGAGGTACCTGGCTGAGTCTGGCCAGCATCGTGATTCTGGCTGCTGATTGGCTAGGGGGCGGAGTCACAGGCCTTGTGTTTCACTGCCTGCAGCCATTTCCTGGTTCAGACAAAAAGCCATGAAACTGAGCTAAATGTCCAACAACGCCACCATTTTTCAGCCGAGTTCTTTCTGTGAAGCAGGCAGGTTACCTTACACTGTTTACTGATCACCTCATGTTATTTTGTCACGAGTAAAAACCACGCCCCCCCTCTGCACCTATGAGGGGCCTTTCTGTTATGAAGCTGGCATGAAAACAAAACTACACTCAGGTGGGCTGACTCGAACCACGCTGACAGAGCTGTTTTAGGCTGAGTGGTGCTCCTGGAAAACCACCTTTAGTGTCAGTCCAGTGTTTCAGTGCAGATCCCACACACCTGAACAGGTAGAGCTATGGCCTTCAGTTCTGTTAGGTCATTATGAGGTTCTGTAGTCATAAAATGATAATGGTAAAAACTCATGCACATGCTGTTTCTGCTCCTAGTTTGTGGTGTGCAGGAACTCCGCAATGCTGCACAGAAACCAACTTCACTCGTGGATATTCCGTAACCGTTATTTTTCACGGAGATCGCCCGCGGATCCCTCTTCTGTCGGCATTCTAGGAATCGAAATAAAAAACTTTGAATGATTCCGGGAAAAACTAACAGTTGGAACCGGTTCCAATCGATGCCCAACCCTAAAAGACATTATCGGAGCACATTAAAGTGAAAGTGAACGGACGTGCAGCAGAAGCAGCAACAATGACCGGGACTGCTTTGTTTCCACCTAGGAAGTGCTTCAACTCTCCCATGAAGGAGTATTTTAGACTCCCAAAGCTGCTAAAAGAGAAATGCAGATGGCTGGGTCATCTGCAGAGCTGGCAGAAATTTATCATCTCGGACATCATCACACAGATTCCCTCCGCCTGAGTGAGATTACCAAGCCTTTTATTGTTGCTAACATTGATGATTTTGGCGTTCAGCTCATGAAAAACCAAAATTCCTATCTAAAAAAATTGGCATATTTAATCCGACCAATAAAAGAAAAGTGTTTTTAATACAAAAAAGGTCAACCTTCAAATAATTATGTTCAGTTATGCACTCAGTACTTGGTCGGGAATCCTTTCGCAGAAATGACGGCTTCAGTGCGGCGTGGCATGGAGGCGATCAGCCTGTGGCACTGCTGAGGTGTTCTGGAGGCCCAGGAGGCTTCGATAGCGGCCTTAAGCTCATCCAGAGTGTTGGGTCTTGCGTCTCTCAACTTTCTCTTCACAATATCCCACAGGTTCTCTACGGGGTTCGGGTCAGGAGAGTTGGCAGGCCAGTTGAGCACAGTAATACCATGGTCAGTAAACCATTTACCAGTGGTGTTGGCACTGTGAGCAGGTGCCAGGTCGTGCTGAAGAATGAAATCTTCATCTCCATAAAGCTTTCCAGCAGATGGAAGCATGAAGTGCTCCAAAATCTGGAAGTTTCAGAGCCGCAGTTCCTCGTGGAGTCTTGAATCTGCTGGTTAAAGGTTGGTTTATGCTTGACGCGTCCGCGAGGTTCGCACGGCTCCACGCGGAAAAGTTGCGTCATTTTAACAACCACGCCCCTCCACCGCGCCTCCGCACGACCCAGAATTTCCGCAACGCGCACCTCGGAAAATTTCTAACCACGCGGACGGTCGGACGCGGAAAAACATGGCGGACCTGCAAGAACTAGCACAGCAGAGGTTGGTAAATACAGACATTTGTATGGTTCAGCTCTCAGAGATCACCGTGATCAACATGTTGTTAATAATTCTTGGAGAGAAATAGCTCGCACTGTCGGAAAAGACGAGAACGCTGTTAAAAATGCTGAAATGCCGTGTTGTAAACAGTAATTTCTACTTCTACTATGGTGTAGTGTTGGATGCATGCTGTAGAGCTCCATGCTGCCCCCTACAGTTTGGGAGAATATTGGCTCACCGCAGAGACAAGCCGCGTGAACCATAAACACTGCGAGTTGTGAAGCGCGTTCTAGCCGCGAGCCGCATCACCGCGCGGAAAGTGAATGCGTCAAGCATAACCCAAGCTTCAGGGTTAGGAGCCAGGAGCAGCCACTGTTGTGGACGCCGTCTCACCTTCGTGCCCCTCCCGCTGTTGACTGCCTCTGCTGTGTACTGCGGTGGGCTTCAGCCAGACCTGATCCTTGCTTCTGAAACCCGTCTTGTGATCACTCACTTCTGCGCACCACACACTACGGAGCAAGCAGACACACTCCTTGAAGTGAAATCTTGCCGTCCAACCTGGACAAACCTCACCCACGCTCCAAAAGGAAGTCCATGAAGTGCTGTCCAGACAGACGGGAGTTGGAACGACCTCCACATGAATAAACTTTCATCATTTGGACTGATTTTGATGCTTTTGTGAGCTTTACGCTAACGCTGTGGTGACCGACTCAGCTGTCCTGCCCCTCCTACGTCACGCCGTCACGTGACACGAATGAGCTAGATTTTTGTTGAAGCTGCAGACGAGTGACATCATCTGAGTTATTAAACACTGAAAAGTTGATCAACTTGGTTTTTCACCCAACAGAACGATGTTTGTGATTTTAAACACCTGTAGAGGTGAACATCCAGCTGACACGCTGTGTGGCTCTCCTCTCCAGGACAGAACAAACAACCTGTTCAAGCAGGTTTACGAGCAGAAGAGTCTGAAGGGCCGAGCCAACGACGCCATCGCCTCCGCCTGCCTCTACATCGCCTGCAGACAGGAGGGGGTGCCCAGAACCTTTAAAGGTCAGATAAATACTTCATTTCCTCTTCAGGTGTCCAGACATCCCTCGTTAAATGAGAGTTGGGATGCATTTAGTTTGGGGACCTGATCTTCTCAGGGGTGAAGGTTTCCTGCTGCAAGTTCTCAGGTGTTAATGTCTCTAAAACGTTTCATTAGTGCTGCTCACAGCGGCCTGCT